CCTTACTTTCCTCGTGTTTCTTTTCCCTTGTGCTTGGGAGAAGGCAGAGAGACCAAACCTTGTGTGCCCAAGTGTCCCTGCGTCCCCTGTGCTGTGCTGCAGGCTGAAGGCAACATGGGTGTCTCCTTGCAGCGAGCCTGGATGCCTGTATCTCACTTGTAAGAAACCAAAGCAATAAAGTCTCTTCCACTCCTAGTCCTGTGTAGTTTCTTACTCTTGCTTATGTGATTTATGGACAAGGCTTTTCCATCCATGTCTGCTTCTAAAACTGGCTTGCTGGGCAGGAAGAGCCTGTGCACACCTCAATCCCTGCTCCTGTGAGGGTCCTCTTCTGCTTCTGAGGACCTGGTGGGGGCTGTCTGCTCGGTGGTGCTCTGGAGGCCTGGCAGGAGCTGGGCTCTGCCCAGATTGGATCCAAGGCTGGGGACAATGCAGCTGTTGGCACCTCTGCCCTGCCAGCATCGCATGGTGCAGAGCTGTGGAGGTCCCTGCCTGTCCAGGCTCTGCTGGGGGTCTCCAGAAATCCTTGTCTCCTTAGTGTGTGAGCTCTCCTTTGATGTTGGCCAGCATGGATGTGCAGGACTGAGCTGTGGGGGATCTGGGGCTGGCTGCTACTGCTGAGGAGGGTGGTGACAACTGTAGTACTTGCTCTTAGTTCTCACAAAGCTGCTGGAAGTTGGAGCACCTTACAACTCTGAGGGGAGAGCCTTGCACCAACAAGCTTGGCCTTGGTCTAACAGCAAGGCTGACTTGCCTTTCTTACCCTCATGCCTTTGCTGAGCTTTCCTGGGCATCAACCTGCAGGAGAAAGGGGTGATCAGGGTTGTCCTGTGGTATCCTTGGGCCTGAGCTGTGTAGTGGAGCAGCCGTGGAGGAGCAGTGCTGAGCCAGTGGGGCATCTCTTCAGATACCACTGAGCTCCAGGTTCTTGGTGCCAGTGGGTTCTCCCCATCACCCATCCACCCCGGTGTACCCTGTGCAGCCCCAGAGGAGGGGATCCGAGGCAGCTGGGTGCTCAGGGGAGGGAGGCACATGAAGAACTGGGAGCTGCTGAGCGGTGCTGTGTGCTGCTGCAGAGAGCCCTGGGCTCTGTGTGTCAGGAAGTAATTGGAGTAATTAGCTGCCAGCGGCTTCTCACCAGTGAACTCTTCCGAGGGAGTAAGCTGGTAATTACTCCAGAATTATTACCGGTGTCTCCAAGCTGCCAGAGGCTGGAGATAGCTGCTTTCAGCTGCAGCAGTGGCTGTGAAGGTGGAGGTGAGACCTCCCCAAAGGATGCCATTCCTCGGCTGAGCCAAGGGAAGGGGCAGGGAGGGTGCATCTTCTGACCATGGGTGCTAACACAGGTCCTGTTTGGGTGGCCCTGAGGCTGGGGCAGGCTGCCTGGCAGCAGGGCAGTGGCTGAGGCACCCATCGATGTGGCACAGTGTGGTGGGTGGCTGCCAGCAGCTGCTGGAGGTAGGTGGGCATCAGGAGAGCCTGGGGGAACTTCTGTGGTGGGAGGTCCCTGGTGCTCTGCAGGGCAGAGAGATGGCTTCTCCTGCTTCTCATCACCTGACTCCCTAAACTGGGAGCATTGCATGCTTCACACCAGGGCAGTTGCAGGATGAAACTCTCCTTGGTGCTGGCCTTGGGCTGTCTTCCCCCATCCTCCACCACCCCCTTGCAAGACATTTTTGAGGAGCCCTGGTGAAGAGCTGTAGGTGTGATGGTTTTTCTGCCCTTAGGTGGATGGCACGGTGGGAAAATAATACTTATCCCTCTGAGAGGTTTTACAAGTGCCCTTACATTTCTCCCTCCCGGTGCCTTGATGGCAGCAGGGTCATGGTGAGTCTCTGCCAGTTGGCACCACCTAAATGGTGGGTGCTCGTTATTTGCTGATGTAGTTTGTGGCTGAGCAGAGTTTAAATGGTAGGGAAACAGTAGCACTTCATTTGTACCTGCCATGCTGCTCTCACATTGAGCTGGTGGTGGGAGATGAATCTGAGGTGGCCTCAGCTGCTCCACAGCTGCACCAGCTGGCAAATCTCACCTTAGCTCAGGTGCCACCTGAGCTCCCTCACAGGTGGGTACTTAAAAGCACTGACCCCAGCAAAGATGGAAATTAAAAGGTAAGTGAAACACTGAGGTTGGGGGGCTGCAAAGCTCTGTCTGGTTTAGGAGCTCACCAGTCAGGTGCTTCTCATACCTGTTAGTCATGAGTCTCCAAAGCCCCCAAAGTATCACTTGTGAGGATATTTAAATTGCATTTTAAAGATACACCTTCTAAAAGGTGTGGTTCCCTTGCTCTGAGACGCAGCTGGGGCACCAACTGCAGCAGAACAGAGGTCAGCTCAGAGGAGTAGCACATCCCCAAATGTCCCTGTGCCTGGACACTGCGGGGACATGGAGGGGGACAGTGGGGAGGGGGCCGTGCAGGGGTACAGCCCCTCCACGCTGCAGGGGGATGGATGAGCAATGGAGGGTGATGTGAACACCCTCCGGTGTGTCACCCTCGCCAACCAACCCCTCCCATGGCTCAGGGCAGGCCATGGGGACAGCATCTGCCTTGTCCCCAACAAGGTTAGCCCCAACTCTGTCCCTTCTGGGCACTGCTTGTCCTCCAGCCCCATGGGGACAGCTCGGCCTCACCAGCGCGCTCCTGCACGTGTGGCTACCGGAGGCTGTGGAGAGGGAGCTGGTGTCTGTCTCTGCGGGGACAGCAGAGGTAATGAAGCCTCCTGATTTCACAGCAGCTGATGCCTGAGTGATGGCTCTTAATTGGCTTCCCTCTGCAAAAATCCTCTCCCGCCAGCCCCAGGAGAGATGGCGTTGCCACAGGCTGTGCCTCTCCGCGCTCTCTCCGCTGCAGGCTGTATTTTGGGGAGCAAAGGGGAAAGGATAAGCCAGGTGAAGAGATGCCACTGCTAAATGCTTTTCTAAATTTTTTTTTTTTTTTGGACAAGAATAGAAAATTTGCCCTGTCTCAGATGATTAGCTATTTCCTTACTGGGTTGCTGTGAAGGGAAGACACTGGCTGTGACATTAAGTGAGGCAAAGGACTTAATCCACTTTAATTTCCCTGTGTCTCTTTTCTCACCAGCCTCCAGAGGATGGATGGTGGGAGAATTGAGGCGTTTCTGCCCCACCAGCACTGGCTGCCATCTCACCCCACTGACAGACACTGCTCGGAGCGCAGGCGGCAGCTTTGGGCTGTGTCCTCCCGGGCAGGTGAAGGAGCACAGCAGGAAGGACACCCTGTCCTGCCCCAGTGGTTTCCATATCGCCTGCCTCAAGGATGACTCTGAGGAGAGGCAGGTTGGCTGGGATGATGCAGGAGGACCAGTGCCCCAGTGGATCCCTCAAGCTAGGGATGAGGTCCCACAGGGTTCTTGGCCCCCACAAACCAGCTCCTTTTCCCTTCCTCTTGCCTCATCCCTGTGGGAAGAGGAATGAGATCCAGCATGGCCTCACACCTGCATCCCTCGTCACCGCTCCCCAGCCCCTGTCTGTAGCTGGTGGCCCCGAGGGGCATGCAGGGCAAGCAGAGCCAGGGGAAGCAGTCAGTGGCTCAGATGTCTCGGTTGCTCAGATGTGTGCTGAGACAGTGGTGCTTTTTTCCTCAACAGCTGCATCCCAGAAGGAGACAGAACTCAAAGGCCACCCCTGTCCTTGGCACAGGCTCCATCCGCCCCGTCCTTAGCTGCTTCCAAAGAGAAAGGCCCACCGGGAAGTGCTCCCCTTGATGTTGCAGAGGTAACAAAGGGAGCCTAAGCTGGGAGCAGGGCTGGCTTGGTCCCCAAGTTCTTCTCCTTGCAGCAGGGAGGGCATCTGGGACCCCTGGTGATGGTGCTTCTCGCAATCCAAAAGCTCGCAAAACACAAATCCATGCAAATCCAGCATGTGAGAAGAGAGAAGGGTGTGGGGAAAGGGGCAGGGGATGCGCTTTCTGGTGACTTTGTGTGTCTGTCTCTTGGTGTCATCAGCTTGGGGCAAGGGCTGGGGGTGCTGGTGGGGCCACGGGGCCAGGGCAGGTGTATTTGGGGAGCAGTGGGCAGGAGAGCGATGGGACAGGGTTTTTGGGGCCAAGGGGTTGCAGGACCAAGCCTATGCTGGGGTTGTCAGACAGCACCTGCATTCACAGGGACAGGCACCTGCAGCCGGCTGGCGAGGAACTCAGTGGCAAATAGATGTCCCAATTATGGATAACAAATTACTCGTGTATGGAGAAGGGGGAGCTTGATACATTATTGTGATATATCATAGGACTCTTCAGCACCTCTTGTGACTGTTTTTTAGAAAGCTTTGGTGTGCGGGGAAGGACAGCAGGCAGCAGGTTGAGGTGTACACCCTTGTAGGACATTACTATTTAACAAACCCCCCTCCACCCCCAGCTCAGAGAACCCCAAATCCTCCCTCACCAGCCACCAGGAATCTTGCTCCACCACCGCCTCCCCGCACTTTGCATCCCCTCCCACAGCTGTGACATGCCAGGATCCCTGTGTTCCCTTCTCCTTTCTGTGCTCAAAATGTTGCCAGGCCAGAATTCAAGGCTATTCCTCCTTCACCACAATTTCTAAGTATCCCCCGTAGGATCAGGACCATTACAGCACTCTGCCATGGGACTGGGGGTCCTGGGTGGGAGAGGGATCCCTCCTCTGGGAAGATAGGAGGGAAAGGGCAAAGAGTCACCTCTTCCACACCCACTGGTAGGATTTAGTTTAACATTTATAATTTTTTTAGCTTGATCAAATTTCCGGAGCTTGTGTCTTCCCGAACTGCTGTGCCTTGTTGCCTTTTTCCTTCCTTCCCTTCTGCTCGGGCGACTGCAGCAGACGCTGTGAGTCTGTAATAAGTTATTCAGCAGCAGTCTCCATGCTGGTGTTCGGATTTCAATTTCCACATGTTTCCCTTCAGGCTGTTTCCAACTAATTTCCCCATTTGCATAATGCCCCCCATAGGGATGCTCTGGCACAGCCTCTTCCCCCCTCCTTTGACAAGATCATCAGAGATTCAGGCTATTAGCAGAAAACACTTTAATTCTGTTGGCCCTTTAATCCGGTCCTTCCCCGTGCGTCTCCAATTAAAACAAGACAAAAAGGCATGTTGGGGTGCAGGGATTGGGGTGCCCACAAGGAGTGGGCTAGGGGCTGCTGGTCCCCCACCTGGGGGAGCCCCTGGAAGGAACCAGCCGGCAGAATTACAAATTCAGAGCAAAACCAGTTTCTCATTACTGATTCTGGTCCAGCAGCCCTGATGGTTCGGTCTGGACCAGAACCACTGGGGAGCCCCCCACCCCTGCCCCCCAGCTCGAGGGGGAGAGGCAGGGACAGCTTTAGCTGGGATGGCATTGAGCTTTGGGGTGGTGGGTCTGGTTGCCCCTGCTGCATGGGCCCCCACGGATGTCCTCTCTCCTGAAATAGCACTCCTGTCCTACTCAGCGATTTGGAGGGATGGACGCCCAGGAAGGCTGAGCACATGCAGGAGGGGGGAACAATAACCATCCCTCAGCTGCTGGGTGCGGGTGAACCTCATCTCTCCTCTCTAAGCCACCTCATCTCTTCTGGACACCCCAGACCTTCCCTGCAAATTTGGTCTCTCTCTGTCCACCACCAGAAGCAAGAACTGCTTATTCCTGCCTGATGTTCATATTCTTCTGCCTTTCTTCGAGCAAGTTTTATTTTATGCTTCTACCACACGCAGAGCAGTCTGAGCATAGACGATGCTCTGGTCTCTCTCTCTCTCCCTAATTCTTGTCCATCCGCATATGGCAAAAAGCCTACATCACCATCCCGCTCCCAGCGCTAGCTGCTCACTGTGATCTACATCGCAGTACATCTCCCTCCAAGTTGCCCAGACACCAGCTGGATTATAACTTCCTCCGGGAACTGCATAAACACCTCCAGGTTTAAGTGAGCTCAGCACTCCTGCAAAGCTCACTTCTTCCCTAGCCAGCTCCACGTCCTTATAAACAGAGTCTTTTTTCCTGCTTTTTTTTTTATTAGCTCTTCCATGTTATAAAACGTAATGGGAACTTTCAGACCAGCTTCTGAACAGGTCTCTGATGTGCTTCTCTCTTTTATGGCTCAAGTACAACAGCAATCGCAGACATTAACATGCTTCTTTAGGACGAAATGTACATTTGAACGGCACCCAGTTGGAGGAACACGCTGCGCCTCTTGCAGAGCTGGCTGCAGCCTGCCCCGAAACCCCGGTGAGGGGCGACGGGTGCCCAGAGTCTGCCTGCAGCCTCCCGCACGCCGGGGAAGGAGACGGCAGGGGAGCCATGGCCAGGGGGAGGGAGAGTCAGGGATGAGGATGCTAGGGAGGGGGGGTGAGGGAGGGCCTTTTAACACCAGCCCTTGGGGGCAGCCGTTGCCTTCACACCCACCTCCGAAGCACTCGATGTGTCGCTGACAACATGTGAATTAGCGAAAGTAAGATGTAAGTGGGGATGCGTGGGATTTCCTTGTCAGCAGAGCCTTTGGATGGAGGCATGGGAAGAAGTTCCTGTGTCTCGGGCTCCCTCCACATCTTCCCCCTCTCTGGACCTCATCCCCTGGCAAACAGATCTCCCACCCCAGGCTCTGCGTGTCATGTCAGCCTTTTCTTTCCATCCCTCTTTGTGTCTGAGGCCATGACCTAAATGCCAAGAGTGGAGTCCTTCAGGCCCCCACCCCTCCCAGGTCGTTTCTTGGTTAGAAATTACCATTACAAGTCTTTTTAGGGCCCAGCACTGTGTGACACCAACCTTATGGGGACTCTTGACTTGCAATTATCATGACAGTCATCATTAACACAGAGAAAACCTTGTTGTCTTTGCCAACTTGCTCCAACGATGGGAGTGATGGTGTGCAACAACCAGTCTGCCTTTCTCCTTGTTTCTTGCCTGGGATGGGCCAGCAAGTGGGATGTCCCTTGGATGAGAGGTCTGTCTGCACAGGGATGCAGAGAGCATGCCCTTTGGTCATGTCCATGCTGTGACCTCCTATTTAGCTACAGCTGAGGGGCCAGCTGCTGTCCCGTGGCACTGAAATGAGGATGTTGTCCCCGTCGTGGGAGTCTGGAGAACCCACCTCCCGGGGTCATTCTCCGGCGCCATATCCCCTCTCCTCCCTGTGTGCCCCCTTCATGGGTCAAGCCTGGGCACCAGTGGTGTATCTCCCAGCTGTGGGGCTGGGAGGGAAAGCCATGTCCCCAGAACAGGGGTGGTGGCACCAGCCCAGCAGCAGCCTACAGCATCTCTCCTGCGTGTCATCCAGCAGCCAAATGTACTCCTCCTGGTCCCAGCAGCCAGGCCGATGCCCAGTTCCCTGCTGTCAGATGGTGGTACCCCGCAGCCTGGGGAAGAACGGGGGTCTACTGTTTGTCTGAAAGGGGAAAAAGCCTGTGCGGGGCGTGCACGCCGGGGTCCTGCCGTGCAAGCAGCCCTTGCAGGCACGGGCGCCCTGTGCTCCGCAGGAAAGCTCCATCCCAGGAGGGCTGGTGGCCGGGGCGGCGCTGACGTGTGGGTGGGAGCTATACATGGCCCCCTTTGGAGAGGTACGCGATCAGCGCTACCACCACCCCGACGTACACTCCTGTGCCGATGGTTATGGAGAGCGCGGCGAGGAAGAGAGCTCGGCGAGAAGCTGAACTGGCCAGGTGGAAATCTCCTTTGGAGACGGCCTTGCTGGTCTGGAAGGAGAAGAAACGCTCATTGCTCACAGCCCCACCAACCTGGCTCTTTACCTTGTGTCTTTCACTGCGGAGTCAGGCCCCCTTCTCCGGCCACTCCATCCCGTGAAGGCTGGGGACAGACAGCAAGGTGTCCATCGGTCTGGGACAGCTGAGCTCGGCAGTGCTACCTACACACATTTCCCTGTGGATTTGGCCTCCAAGGAAAGCGTGGGCTTTGGCTGTTTGTCTGCAAGCCCCAGCCATCTGGGTGCCAAGCCGGAGCTGTGAGGGGGTGGCTGGCCCCTCGTAAGCCCAGGCCAATGGTGGGTGCAAGGGGCGATGGCTGCGCGGTACCAACCAGATATAAATATCCCCTATGCATATATATAAAATGAGGAGTGAACAAAAGTGGTTGTTATAGCAAATGGAGCTAAATTTACCAATGCACCAAGTACATCATCACGTGGAGAGTGCATTGTGCTGCCCTGCACCACGTGGAAAAATGTGAAATCAGCCACTCACTGGCTCCTAATCAGTTCAAGCTTCCCCTGCCTCTCACCGCCTCTGTGCCAGGTACTCGTGTTATATACTTTTCCATTTCTGTTTCTATCATCTTGATTTAACTTAATGCCTCCCCCCCCTCCATCTATTCTTGGTACAGCGGCATCTATGCAAACACAGAGTAAATCCCCTGGCTCTGCATGAATTATTCTGGGTCAACAGCGATGTAAGTGAGCTCAGGCTCTGGGCTAAGCCCTCAAGAAGGCAGCAGCTCCTCTGAGCTGGTGCAGCCCAAGGGCCACCACCCTCTTCAGCCTCTGCCAGCCTGGTGTTGGCTCACACAGCTTAGAAACAAGGGCAATGGGGGAGCTGTAGCATGATATGGTGACCAGGCTGCCTCTTGAGTCCCATCTGCAGAGCAGCCTGATTCCAGGGCCTGAGGTGCCTCAGACTGGGTCATGGTGTAGGACCTCTGCACTACTGGAGGACAGGTGGGAAAATGCTATTTTCCTGAGCCTGGGTGGACGGTGAGAACTTGGACAAGGGGCCAAGGGGAGCCTCAGTTCCCTAAATAAGACCCAAAAGACCCAAAGGAAAAGCCTGACCTCCAGTAACCCACACAAGAGCCGGAGGACTTGCAACCCCACAGAAGTCGTGGAGACATCCAGGAGCCAGGAGCACCCTTTGTCTCAGGCCTCATGGCACAGAGATGAGCCTTATAACCAGAAAGATGCCTGGTCCCCTCTGAGGGCTGCTGTGGCTTGCAGGGCCCTTGTTCCAGTGCCCAGTGCATGCAGGCAAGCAAAGGAATCTCTTACCCCTTGGGAGAAGTAGAAGGCAGCGATCCCCAGGGGCCAGAAGCAGCACAGCATGGAGAAAAGGGCCAAGCCCAGGTGGTCCCGGGGGGGAAGCATCAGGAAATGATCCTCACTTTCGCTGTCGCTGGAGGAGTCGCTCTGCAAAACCAGATGGATTCAGTACATGCCCACCTCCCCGTGCCACCCTGCAGGCTGTGTCTCAGCCCCTCTCTCCTGGCCCCACCACATATCCTCACGGGTTTCCCACCTGCAAATTCAAGGAGTGAGTTGCAAAAATATTTTAGCTTCCTCAGCCCAGTTTGATGAGAAAAAAATGTAGCTCAGCAAATTCAGGAGCAGAGTGGATTCTCGGCTCCCTGCCAGAGCAAATGCTGAGCTCGCTTGCTAGGGGTCTGGGATTTCCCTGGGAGATAGTCTTAAACTGAAATATCTTGAGCTCTGGCAGAACTGGCTGTTTGTCTGCTTAAACAAACTTAAACAAAGTGCCTTATCCCCATTAGGGACTAGGAGATCGATATCCTGCTAAACTAATTTAGCAAGTGAGGGAGAGTGGTTGACGTGGAGCCTCCATCACAGGGGTGATGTGTCCTGTCCCCTTAGCCAGCGCATTTCTCAGGGTGGCTGCAGTCAGCCCTCCTGCCTTTGGGCACCGCTCGGCCAGCCGTCAGCCAGCCTGGAAGTGATGTGTCCCAGTGGGGATGGCACGCAGAGGTGGGGACACCCCTGCTGCCATCTGAAAAGGCCCCACCACCGGCACCGAAAGCCGCAGAGCTGTGCTGGGTCACCAAACATCAGCTCCAGCAGGCTCTGGGGACCTGCTCCCACCTCTCTAGGTGACGTTCCCAGGCTCTGCATCACCACCCAAGCTGTGGTGGGGCAGGGAGGGCAGCATGAGACTGCTTTGCCAGCTCTCATTCTTCTTTATAAGATTCATCCTGACTTTATGTTAAGCTTTCTCTCTGCAGCTGCCATCAGGCACGTGAATTTTGCTGTTAACGCAAGGATTGCTATTTCCCCTTAACTTGAGTGCCACAGGCTGCCCTTGTCAAAGGCTCCCTACATCCCAAGGGTCCTGCAGAGATGAGCCCACCTCCCCTTCACTCCCAGGGGGCATGCAGCCAGGCTGCCCTTGGGGAAGCTGACCTCCTTCTGAGGTCTGCAGTGAGGAAAAGGGAGGAAGAAATGAAAAGGGGGAAGAAGAAATACTGGGTGCACAGGGATAAGCTGGCAGGAGATGGTAGGGTCTGGGTGGGGAAGCTCTAGGGAAAGAAGGGAAAATAAATGACCAAGAACTTGGGCAGACAGCCAGAGTTACCAGAGGAAGAGTTTGATGCCATCCCACCTGGTAAAGCTCACCTCATACTCCTGGAGCTCCTCTTCCTCCACCTCGTAGGACACGGTTTGGATGCGGATGTCGCTCTCTACCAGGCAGGACCCTGAAGCCTCGTGCCCATCGGAAGCTTCAGACGGAGCCTCTTTGCTTTCCGTAAAAGTGGTCTCGCAGCTTTCTGTCTTGCTGTCCTTGGCCTTGAGAGTGGTCTCATCCTTCACGAGGATGAAATTGGGGCCGTACAAGGCTTCAACAGCCAGCTGCAGGGAACTGGCATCCAGCAGCTGGTGAGTCCTGGCACCACCAGTGTTTTGGAAGATGTAGGAATACAGTTTCCCTTGGCAGTGATGACTGGGGTAGTCCTGGCTGTGATGCTGGTGGTAAGAATAGCTGCTGCGAAGGTGCCCATTGGCCTTGGCCAAGAGTGGGTTTTGGAGCTCACGTACGCTCTCCATGCTGCCGGCGGCGCGGGGGAGCGATCCTGCGGGAGCAGAGAGAGGAGGAGGGAGGAGGCTGTGATTTCAGCAAGGCAAGGGAGCAGAAAAGCTTCTCGCCCATGCAGAGCCGATGTCAAGACAAGGCTAGTGGGAACAGAAAGATTTGGCTGTGCTGGAGAAAACAAGAGCCCTCCCTGCCTCTCCACAGCTTGAATGCTATCTCAGCAAACTGAGCATCTCTTCATCTCTCCCCAGCTGGCAGTAAGATAAGGATGCAGCCCTGCAACAAGATGATCTGATTCAGGCTGGATTAAGATGAGGATTTGCTGTATCTATAATGCATCTTGAGATGGCCACGTGCAGCCTGACAGGAAAAGACCTTTTCTGCTGGTTCATAATGTGTGCTGTGACAAAGCCTAACAGACAGAAGTAGATAAGATGCTGACAGCCACATGAAGGGTCTCCCTGTCTTCCCAAAGAGGAGGGTTGCACGGTGAATTACAGCCCTCCAGGCATTACACATACACCTAACTGGCTTTCAGATACCCAGGAGGTTTTCTAAGAACCTTTCAAGGCTGAGCTGGGGCTGGGGCGAGAGTAGCTAGGCATCAAGGGAAGCCAGGAGGCTGCTGTGAGGACACAGAGGTGGCTTTTAGGCTGGGGTGGGGAGTGTCGGACGCTCAGCCAGCTGTGGAGAGGAACAGAGGGATGCGGAGGTTAAAGGGGAGACACCACAGGGCTTGGTTCACATTGAAATGATGACAATTTAAGTAAATGACCTGTCACATCAGACCTCTGTTTAAACCAGCTCCACCCCTGGGTACAGCTGGCAGCCGAGCAGCCCTGGCTCTGGGCCACTGGCTTCAGAAAATGCCGAGTCCGAACGGGATCCTCAGCTACAAATGTCAACATGGGCTTCTTCCTCAGGAAAATTCACCCCTCCTCCCCCTTCCTCCATTTCAGAGTGCTGAAACTTTGTGCTGATTTTTTTTGTTTGTTTGTTTTGCATAAAAATTTCTGAGATGAAATATTTCAACCCCTTTTCTTTGGAGGAGCATTTGCTATTTTGGCTTCCCAACCTGCCTTGGCACGAAGAAAATGTGTAGTGAAATATCAGCGTTCCCCAGGAGAGAGAAACAATTACTTCGTGCTCTTCAGTACCCAAGCCCCATGTTTTACAGCTGCTCTCTAGCATGTTCCCTGCTCCTGGACCGTGCCACCTTATTGCCTTGCAACCCCAAATGTTCCTGTCCTCCTCAGGGACGTCTGTCACTGCCGCCTCTGCAGGATGCTGTGTAGCAGAGACACGCTTCCACCTGGTATAGGGTACTCTGAGGTGCACTAGGCTTTCTGACAGAAAGCACATCACCTTGGGTTTCAATCTGTCCTCAAGAAGGAAATATAAATAAAGAAGTTGGAGTTAAAGACTCCAGAGAGTGAAAAGCTCAAGTGGTCCCATCCCCTTGGCCAAACTCTGCCACGCCACCCAGGCCTGAGTGCCATACCTGGTTTTAGATGGCCCTGTCGATGGGCTTTGCTCTGGCAGTGGTGGTGGTCGCCTTCTGGAAAGCTGCTCAGGAGAATGGAGCTGGCCAAAAGCACTCCTGCGCTGCTAAAACACTGCATGTTTTGGTAAATGCTCTCCACCTCCCCCTCCCCAAAACCATTCTCTGCTTTCTGCAGTCTCCCACCTTGCTAATAAAGCCTGTAATGGCTCATACGGCAGATGGCCCTTAAGTATTTTCAAAATATTTAAGCGAGATGCATATTTGTAGCACAGACGGTTTTATTTCCCGCACAGACCCAGGGAAACTCAAAGCTTCACACCGGGTTTCAGGCAAGGAAAGCACGAAGCTCCTCTTTGCTTACCTCAACACGCAAGTTAGATTTCCAACAAAATATCTGGCTTTTTAATGAAACGGTAAGGAGAGACCTGTCCCTGAGTGTCACTTGAGAGCAGCAGCCCAAGCAGGAGCAGAAGCCCAGCTTTAGAATGAGAGAGTTGACAGTTTTGGGAGGGCGTCCACGCCTCATCTCAAGAAATGCTTCTAGCAGCAAGCTGGGGGAGGGAGAGATGGGATCTTGCTGGGAGCTGCCGGAGGGAGCTGAGAAAGGCTGGACGCTGGGCAGCGGGTGCTGCCCGTGAGGAGGTTGCTGCTCCACTCACTTCAGGTCCTCAGGCGGGAGGAGAGAGGGGGAGAGCTGTGTGGCAAAGCCATATGTTCACAGCAGCGGGTGCTGGGAAACACTCAGAGCCTGGCGGGGGGACGGGAAAGAAGGGAAAGCAGCTGGGAGGAACTGGAAACCCAGAAGACAGCTTGGGAGGTGGCAGGTATCACGGACCAGAGTGTGTCTGTGCAGCTGGACACAGACTCTGCTGACTTCGGGCTGAAGGCTTCACCCCAGGGGAGCAGGGAGAACCCAAACCTCTCTGGTCCCTCAAACTGCCCTGGAGCCATCCCTAGACCAGGGCCAGGACCTCGGAGGCTCCTGCACTGCACAAAGCGTGGACCAGGCAGGGCTACAGATAGAAGTTTTTAGTCCATGCTAGGTTGCTACCCTCTGGGAATATAGGAGATTTACTTGTAGTAAACGCTCTTTTCCTTGCTGCTTCCCACTCTCAGGAGTTGAGCTCTTGGGAGCAGGATGGGGCAATAACAGGGCTGCAGGGACAGGGGGGAAAGCGCAGAAGATGTCACTGAGCTTCTCATAAATAGGCAAAGGGACCAAGAAGTGCAGCCCTAGCACCCAGTCCGTGGCATTTGTCAGCAGTGGGGAGGGGACGCCAAAGGCCAGGGTCACAGCAGGGCTACAGCAGCGTGCTCAGCCCTGCAGGAAAGCAGCCAGGCTGAGACCTCCCTCCCTGAGAGCTGATGTCAGGAGCCCCAGTGCTGGAGGGGTTAGAGATGCTTCCCACTCCTTAGTCACCAAGATCACGGCATCGCATGGCGATGGGGTCTGGGCTTGCAGGTATCGATGGGGGCCATCAAACCGCTGGAGATGGTATTAGAGAGGGAATGGCAAGGAGGGCGAGGACCAGCCCTGCGCCCACAAGCACACAGAAGGACAGGGCCAAACCAGCCCTGTCTGGATCCTACAGTGAATTTGGCCACACAGGGATTTAATAAAGTAAGCCTGGTAATAAAGTAAGCCTAGTAATAAAGTAAGCCTAGTAATAACCAGGCTTGGGGGAAGAGGAATGAAGCCAGCAGGTGACAGCAAGGAAGCTGTAAAAGACAAAATTAGCAGAGAGTGGCCATTCTCTGTCCTCATCACCAGCACGGCTAAATAGCTTCCATATCCATCAGCCCCACAGGGCCAGTCTGGGCAGCACCAGCAGCAGGTAACTGGTGAGGTGCTGTTTGTTGGTGCACAGGGAGGATGCACACAGAGGAGCGTACACGCACAGGGTGAGCCCAGGAAGAGGACACACCTGGGAAGAGGCAGGCTCCAGCGCCCCGGTGGAGCTGGACTATTGCTGCAGCCCTATCGCCAAGACTAATGGCTGCTGGCTCCCTAACGAATTACCTTCCCCACCACACGGCTGCTCCTGTAACCACCCAGCAGAGCAGGGTCCCCACACGCTCCCCAGGCCACTTGCAGTGGTCCCCAGCAGAGTGGGAAAAGCAGAACCACGCTGTGTGCGCTCTCAGCTTCTCGAGGCAGGTACTGGATAAAAGGAGCCAAAATAAGGCAGGAAAATAAAGAGGTAGCAAATTCAGCTTTGTGCTTCCCGGATCTCACCTCCACACCACATCCCCTGGGGCACTCCAGGTCCCCTTGGGACCATCCTGAGTGCTTTTCCCCCGACATGAGAGGTCACTGGCCGCCCCCACCAGCCACAGCACAGCCCTCAGAGGGACCCTCGGCGCAGATGCCGGCTATGATAAGCCCAGTTAATGATGAATTAAGTAGCTGTTCCAGGAATCAATCATCATTTAATTGCCCTGTCAAGCAAACACTCTGCCTTGCTTCCCGGGCTCATTAGCAGGTTGCGACTGCGTTTCATGTCCCCAGACTCCCGAGCGAGAAGGTTAGCCCATCCTGGCCAACGGCTCATCCCTTCAGGACAGGTGCCTTCAGGGGGTGGTGCCCCACTGTGCTGCTGCCGGTCTGAGGGCTGGGGACAGCACGAATGCCTGTCCCCAACCTGGATGATGGGAGGCAGCACCACAGCCAGGTACAGCTGCCACAACCGTGGGACACAGGTGAGCCCACTCCTGATGGAGCAGGAAAGCACAGGAGATGTGGCTAGCACCCTTCCCAGAGCTCAGGACCTCCTGGAAGCTCTCAGGAGGTGCCTTGGGGCTTCTAGGCAGAGGCCCAAGTCCTGCCAGGGCACAGTACGACTGCCTCTTGGCATGCAAGCTTGTGATTCTGCCCAAGAGAAAACCAGCTCATAAGGGCTGCTGAGAAACAAAGGCAGAGGGAGGGAAGTTGGCATTTTGGAGAAGGAATATGGGGATGAAGGCAGGGGTGTGACGGCTTGTGGACAATGCATCTGGCAGGGACCAGGGACCAAGCCTTCTCAGCCCTAGGAGCCTGCACAGCAGCGTGGATACCTGCCACATCCAGCCCTGAGCCCCACAGGGTGAAGCACAGCTCAAGGGGAGAAGGAATCACTTCCATCAGCCCCACAAACATGGCTGCAGAAAGCGGTGGTCTCCACTCTGCTGCTCCTGCCTCGGGCACAGCACCAGCATGCAGAGTAGGGGGCTGCTCAACCCCGTGGTGCAACGAAACCTTCACTGGTCCTGGGAAGGTTGCTGTGGCAGGAGCATCAGATGAGGAGGTGGCTGGGGGTGGAGGGGACGGGGGCAGAGGGGTGGGGGGGGGGAGG